GAATACACAATGACAACTTACTCCTTTGAGCATCTACCTATCTCTGTCTATTGGAGTCCTGGTGTGGCGCTGTGGGTTAAAGTCGATTTGAACTTCAAGGGTGGCGCTTCAAGCTCACCGTCACTCCTTGGAGACCCTACATAGGGTCGCTATGGGTCAGAACTGACTCGATGGTAGTTAACAACAACAGTATCTATTTATGACATTTGCCCACTAGCTGTCTTCCAATAAAAAAATAATACTGTTTTATATAATAGGCTTTAATGTTTTCCTTAAAATATGGATTTCTTACTAAATTAAAACTAAGCCTATTTTACATCATTTTATTTCAGTTATTCACAGTCTGAATGATGGGATCCTGTGCTTTGATCATTTTAGCTGTTAAGAGTTGTATACTGAGAACAATGCTGACACAGACCCTCACAGTACTGCTATTGACTATTGTCCCAAGGTTACTGTTGCACTGAGGAATGTCCAGAAAGAATAGTTTCAGTCTTGATGGAAAATTCAGGAACAGCTTAGGAATTTGCGCTTGTTTTTGTGGGTTGAAACTGTCCGGCTTCAAATTTTTCTTTGAATTTTAAGTAGTCTCTTCTTTTATCGAAATATTTTATCTGTTGAGAGAGAGAAAAAAAAGATTAAGGACAAGTTATCGAGCTTAGATGACTAAAAGCACATATATAAACCGAAATCATTCAACCTAAGTGAGTGATTTCAGGGGCTTCAGTGCTAGCGTCCTGGTGTTCAGTGGCTTTCATGTATGTATGGGTTTCAAAGTGAGTCGGAACAGTCTTGTTGGAAATTTCATGTAAACTAGGAATCTTCTCCTCAAGGAATACACATGTGCTAAAAGAGCCAGAACTGACTGGACACCACTTACCAACAAAACCAAACCAGTAAAGCCTTCCATGCAATTGTAGAGAAATCACAGATCTCACAGAGAAGCCGTAAGATTGCATGATTTAAAAAGACTCCATGAATGATTCTTATCATTTATCAGTCATGACATTTTTATAAAGTGATCTCACTAAAAAAATACATATTTAAGAACACAGATACAGTTAAAAATTATATTTATGAACTATGAATAGGTAGGTGGCAAAGCTACAATAAATTACAGACTTTGTTATTCTTGTATTGTCTTTCAATAGGGAATCTGAAGTATCTTAAAGTAATAATGAAAAACAGTAAAATCATCAAAGCAGAAAAACTAGACCAAGGAAGAATCACACGTACAAATCATGAAATGTCGTTCATTCCTGTATCTGAGCTATTCTGCAGACAAGACAAAAGCAGACTACTGTAAATTTTCATGTCAAACAGAAAACACCTGCTAGTGTTGAGTCGGTTTGGACACATGGTAGTGACCCTGTATAGTTTGAGGAGCAGTTGGTGGGTTTGAACTACCGACCTTGGAGTTAGCAGTTCAATGTTTATCCCACAGGACCACACCAGGACTGCTAATTGCAAGGTCAGTGCTTTAAACCCACCAGCCACTCCTGGGAAACCTTATGTAGGGTTGCTGTGAGTCCAAACCAACTCAATGGCACTTAACAACAACAGTTATTGTATTAAAAGCTTTGAAAGGGTTTGATTAACTATCTCAGTGGTGG